GTTGCCCAAAATGTCATTGCTTTGCTAAAAGTACTGGTGAATAAGTCATGACTAGAAAAACTAACTTCACAAGGAAAAAAATAACCCAACACTCTAAAACCAAAGGGATATAAAGATAAGTTATAGCTCTTTATCTGTTACTGTTTAAAAGGGAGCAAAGGGTGACTTCTGGAGTACTAGTGCTATGGTACTATTCTGTTCCATGATCTGTGTACAAGTTATGTATTTTTAGTTTGTGAAAAATAATGAGTTATATTCTTATATGTATAACTTCAATCAAGTCTTTGAAAATTTAAATGCCTATACAAATTTGTATGTATTTGTGTATAAATATTTCAGTAAAGAATCCACCTGCCAATGCAGGAAACACAACAGACATGGGTTCGATCCCTGGGTCGGGAAGCTACCCTGGACAAGGGAATGGCAACCCACTCCAGTGTTCTTGCCTGGAGAATTCCATGGACAGAGGAGCCTGGCGGGCTACAGTCCATGGGGTGGCGAAGAGTCACGACTGAGTCACAGACATGACTGAGCAACTAACACTTTCACTTCAACTAAAAGGGTTTTTAAAAATGCAAAAAAAGAAAAAAGGTAATGTACCTGATTTACTGCTACAATAGGTATCCCATCTGGTGTTACCCTAAGGGGAGGATGTCTGTCCAGGACTGAAGTGTCTTTATCTGCCTGCACTCAGTCAGCCTGCAAACCCTCCCCAGCACCAGCAGGTACAGTGGAGGAGAAATGTGGTTGGGACTTTATAGAAACATCCCTGAACAAACCTGTGGAGGGTCCAACAAACTCCAAACATCTAACACTCACAGAACTGAAACTTTCAGTGAACATAAGCAAAGATCTGTGGTCCCTAATTGTTCTTATCTGTCTTACTGAAAAATAGCGAGACCTGAATATAAGTCAGAAGACAACTTAGACATCAATAGCCGCATGTATAGGACAGAAAAAGTTTTGCATTATAAGAGATTTAGTGTGAATCTATATATCTGATATTGTGTGATAGAAACCATTAAAACCACAGAGTTAGTTTCTTCCCTAGGATCTCTGCTTGTATCCACAGAGAAGGTTCTGTGTGTTGAGAGATTGTCCATAGGCCCCATGTATTTTTCAGTTAGAATTTACAATAGTGTGAAGATCTGCTTCTTTAAAGTAGGTATGTATTTTAAAACCCTCTATGATGTGAGTCATTAAAGCTGTCAAAATTTTTTGCACAATGAACTGTGTTTCAGTAACAAATGCTTCATGCTTAAAATGTGATATTTAGTTGAATCCTCAAAGCAGTCCCAGAAGATAAATACTTCCTTCTCCCCACGACTGTGCCCCTCGACACACAGACCCTTGGAGGGACTACTAGGGACTACTTCCTTCAGCCACTTATTGGCCCTTCCCTCAGTCATCTCTCGTCTCCAGTCACCCGCTGCTGCCCGTCTTCCGTCAGTCATCTTCCACCAATCTGCAGATCCCGCGTGCACTCAAGCACACCCGAGGATGACCTGGCTGGTGCCCCTGCATCCTGGCTCTGCCTGAGCCCGAAGCTGCTTCACTGCCATGCTGACAGCTCAGAAGTGACCCTCTCTGATCATCACCAGCTCTGAACAGTGAAAGTGTTAGTCACACCCAACCCTTTTCGACCCCATGGACTGTAGCCTGCCAGACTCCTCAGTCCATGGAATTTTGCAGGCAAGAATACTGGCGTGGGTAGTCATTCCCTTCTCCGGGGGATCTTTCCAAGCTCGAGCCCGGGTCTCCTGAAAAGCAGGCAGATTCTTTACCGTCTGAGCCACCGGAGGAGCCCCAGCTCTCTGAGCTGCTCCAATTCCTGCACTTGCCTTAAACCTCACCTCTGGCCTGCCTCTGACCTAGCTGTGATCTTGTGAGCCTTCTATGTCCTTTTGGGCTAGCATCTCTTCTCCTTGACCCACTTCTTCAGGTCATCACTCCACCAGGAGAAGTTTCTGTTTCCTACCAGTGGACTCTGTTACACCACCAGCTTGATCAGCCTTTAATCCTTCCAGCCATCAGTCGTTGCTCTTGTTCCAAAACCAGAGAATTCACATAACTAACTATATTTACTTCATAAAAACTTTTAAACTATTTTTTTTTTCAATTTCTTCTGGCCTTTACAGCTGCTGAGATATTCTGGCTCAGCTTCTCTTCCACGTGACCCAAGTGGCTGTCCCCTAAAGTTTCCTAGTCCTCGAGCATCATTCCCCTCCCTTCTCTTCACCCCCCCCCCCCCAGATGATCCCCTTCGGCTTTTCTAGAAGGGTAAGCTCCCAGGAAGTTCCTGAATTCATGCTCCCATTGTCTCCATCAGTAAGTGAGGAAATATTAAAGATTACCCACATTTGGTATTGCCTAGGGTATAAGGAAATGACATGCTTTAAAACTTTGGCTGGAGGATAAAGAATGGAGGAGGTCTTCTCTTTTTTTGAGGACAAACTGGAAATTAGTATCAAAACTGAGAATGCACACACCCTTTGACCCAGTGATTTGTCTTCACTTCTAAGAATTTATTTAAGAAAAAAACAAGAGGGTGAAGAAGTACGTATGGAGATGTTTACTGTGGCTTTGATGTGGTAGAAACCCTGAGACTGTTTAAATGTTCCTCTTTTGGGGGGATGACTAAATGAACTGTGCTGCAAGAAAGTGGAGTCTTCTGCAGCTGTCAAAGTGCCCAGGAAGAATCCACGGGCACTGACATGGAAAGATATTCATAATATAGAATAAAGTGACAAGATCAAGTTGCAGAATCGCAGTCATTGAAAGATTCCACTTAGTTACTTATAAATGCAGTTATAAATACAGACATAGTCAGAAAGCTGATGCACCAAACTCCTTATACTGAAATCCAGGTCGGGGTAATAGCATGGGGATAGGTGTGTGCCGTGGTTGATCCCTACACTATACATTGTATGTCTGTAATTTTAATTTCATTATTAACTCTTTATTCACTGGGGGATTTTTGAAACTAACGTCTGTGGCCAACGACTTGCTCTGTAAGTGAATACTGAAACACTCCAGTCAATAAGGTCCAGCATGTGTTAATATGTCTCTGGCCAATTATGTGTTAAGTGGGCATTACTTTTATAATTTAGTGATATAAAGAGAAAATAAGATAAAAGCCAGTACAAAAGCAGCCTTGTTACATTTGTCAGTGTTTTATGTGCCCACCACAATCAAGGCACCCTCCTTCTAAAGGTCAAGCCTCAAATCTGCTCTCTGTAAACAAGAAACGAGGCAGAAATATCAGTAGACCTGTATGGAGACCACCCAAAGGTGGTCACTCCAAACACTAGGCCAACATTTAGATATTTTCACTTTGGTTGCAGCCCATTGCTGTTAGCTTTCTTCCTCTTTTTTCTCTTTTGTTCTTTCTCCAGATGGCTGAGCAGATATTTTATAACAAAATTAAACAGGAAACCAGCATATGTCTTTGGACACAGAGATGCACTATACAGGAACAGTAAAAGCATTAGGTTCATTTTCCTTACTGCATTACATGTAACACCTTTTATGGCAAAGGTGCATATCCATTTTGATGTGACTTACATAAAAATGATCAGTGATTATCAATCATGGTTTATTATTGCCACCCTTTTTTTTCCAGAAAGAGAGGGCAAAGTCATTAAATGCAAAGTATCTCAGGGGCTACATAATCTAAGTTCTTACCTCACCTTCTAGAACACCCACATAACTTCTTTCCCTACTGATGCTCAGGAGAAACTCTTGTCTGAGGCTAAGTATGACCCAGATCTCATGGTCCCATCCACCTCCTCCTACCTCTGCTGGGTCCAGTCCTTTAATATTATCCCTTAATAAATAAATAAATAGATAGATAGATAGATAAATATATTCCCTGGTGGCCCAGACAGTAAAGAATCTGCCTGCAATAGCACAACACCCAGGTTTGATCCCTGGGTCAGGCAGACCCCTTGGAGAAGGGAATGGCTACCCACTCCAGTATTTTGGCCTGGAGAATCCCATGGACAGAGGAGCCGGGAGGGCTACAGTTCATGGAGTCGCAAAGAGTCAGACAGGACTGAGTGACTAATACTTTCACTTTCATATATATATACATATATAAATGCTTAGCTCCTATATCTTCATTCCCTTTCTCTCTGTTTGATTGTCCCTTGGGTTAAAATTATGCGTGTCTCCTCCAGATTAAAAAATGAAACAAAACAATAACAAATATTAACCCTAGACCAACCCTTCCCCTGTCTAAACTTCTCCTATCGTCAGCTGCCCTAACTTTTTCCTTCTCTTTATTGCCAGCCTCTTTGAGGAGAGTGCTCCCTGATACTGCTCACGTGTCACAGCTCAGTCACCCCCACAGTCTGGCTTTGCTCTCCTCCTCCCTATTGGAACAGGCCTCTCAAAAGCCATCAGATGAGCTCCTATTTGCCAAACCTCATGCCTGTGAGTCAGTTTGGCAGCATTTCCCAGTGCGGACCACTTCCTTCTGTCTACTCTCCTTGGCTTCTGCTGCTCCTCTGTCTCCTTCCTGATTCTTCGAGCTCTCGGCGGCTGACTCCCCATCTGCTCCCCTCTGAAGTCTCCCCTCAGCTGCTTTGTCTTCACACTGTACCTTCCTGGTCTGTGTAATTTCACTCATTCCTACGGTTTCATCTCTCACGTAGGAGGATGACCATCAAACCTGCACCTTTAAGCCATGCTTCTCACCTGCATACCCGACTTATATTTCCAGAAGCTTACAGTTAACATTTCTAGGTCTTTCCAAGTGCCCCCAAAGCTGTGTAAATTCAACACATCTAAAGAGAACTGATAATCCACCAATCTGTCTTAGTCCTGTTCCATCACCAGTGAGATGATTCAGAATCCTCCATGAGTTCTCCATTCTCTCCTCCTGCATATCCTGGGACTACATCTCCTGAAATAACTTGCAAAATCACTGACCCTCTCGTTCATTCTAACAGCTACTCCCCTAGTCCTATTCCTCTGACCTCGAATAATACCAAAAAACAATGTCAAGAAAACCAGACCATAATTCTAATCTGTCTAAAGTATGTACTAATTTACAGAGCTCTTATCTACTGGCATTTAGACCAGCCTCATAGAAAAGTTGTGGAAGGTGGGTGGGTGGGGTACAGATCCTTCCCAATGAAATGGAAATTTAATTTAATTTAATTTAATTGTGACTTGGAAAATCAAAGTGGTGATTCTCACACATCTAGTTTTAGTTTTCAGTTCTGATGTGGAAAAAATAGCTTTGTGAGTCTTAGTTTTGGGGCGAATCGGTTAATCATCATAATTTTATCAAAGATGTACCAGTTTGAATACTGGCTAAGTTTACACTTTTCTTGTGGAATGGATTAAATGAACAGCCATCATTTTTTTGTTTTATAAAAAAGCCTTTCCGGGTATTTCACACTTTTACACACTCAATATTCAGGAAAAAAAAAATACTGGCTAATATATCTATTTCCAGGAATAGTGAATAAGTATATAAACAGTAGGTTAAAAACAAATGCTTCCATACATGGCTCTTCTAACAACTGTCAGGGTGTGCCATCAAGAAAAAAACACCAATGTTTCACAAAAGAATCATTTCATGTTTCTTTTCTTTACTCTGATATATTCTTGACAGGCTTGTAAGTACTTTAGCCAAAATATGAATCAGCCCTTCAACATCACCTCTGAGGTCAAGGGAAGATTTGGGAAACTATAGTGTACAATACTGCTGGGGTGTAAACACAGTCAGAGAAGCATTCAAAGTGACAGGTAAACTAAATGTACTTACTTATATTTTTACCTAGAGTTTTGAAGATAATCTGTTACTATACCTAATACCTTTTTTTTAATCCTTTGTTAAAGTTAAAATCAGATGGCATATTTTATAACTTGTATTTATATGCTATATATACTATAAAAACAAAAAAGCAACCTCAATGTAAAAAAAAAATAGAAATTTTGAGGGAATGAGAAGCTGCAGACATGACTACTTTGAAAATACCTTATTTAGATCTAAAGGAAAAGGATAGTCAGTTCTGTTAAACATGGACTCATATTTTATCTCGCCAAAAAGCTGAGTCTGTGTTTACTAAAAGAGCAAAGAGTTTTCTGGTAACGTCATTATTAAAAAAAAAAACAATTCTAAAAGCTGTTATTTTGAAGCTCAAGGTTGAAAATGTTTGCTATGGGATGTTTACAGTAGCAATCAGTATTTGTTCATTTACAGTTACAAATCATGGGTTTCAGAGAAGGCTGATTTACTTTACCAACCTGTTCCCACTAGCTGGGAGCTCACAGGCCTCCAGGAAGCTCTCTGAGAAATGACAGCTGGAGGCATTGCTCCTTAAACAAGTTATTTTACAGGTAAAAAGTATGGCTCTAGCAGCTGGACTTAAAAGCAAAATGCAGGATCTTGCTTCTCTGGAAAGCACAAGTTGATAATACAAGATGTGGGGCAGAAATGGAAACTAATCTCTTTCTGTATTGAAAAAAATTGCTTTGCAGAGGTAATTTTTAATCTTATAATTAACCTAGAAATCTGGTCTCACTTTTCTAATCCATTCACACCTATCAGAAAAATGTCTGACCCGCTCCAGGCCTCTAATTTATGCTGGAATTTTCATCTTTAATTAGCAAGAAATACCAGTGCTGTCTAGTTCTCATTTTCAAATGGTGAAAAGTAGTAGGTGAATGAATGTGGATCTTTCACAGGGAATATTACATTGAGTACTTATTAAATGGTGTGAAGAACCGAAATAAAGTTCACTTCCTTTTTGAAAAATAAGCGTTTGGGAACCTTGGAATGGCATATAAATCATATATTAGTCACAGGATAGAGAGGCTTCCCTGATAGCTCAGCTGGTAAAGAATCTGCCTGCAATGCAGGAGACCCCGGTTCAATTCCTGGGTCGGGAAGATCCCCTGGAGAAGGGAAAGGCTACCCACTCCAGTATTCTGGCCTGGAGAATTCCATGGACTGTATAGGCCATGGGGTCACAAAGAGTCGGACATGACTGAGCGACTCACTTTCAATCACAGGATAAGGCTCTGGTAGCCTCTAAGCATCACAGGATGATGAACAGCCACTGTTATTTTTGAGGGAGAAAGTGAAGATTTCATATATATTTTAAAAATTTGCAGCTGCAAGTAATAACTGATTCAAGAAATGATGCCAAGAGAGTGAAAGAGTATGTCCATGAGTGTACAGTATATGGTATATGTGTATGTGTGTGTGCTAAGTTGCTTTAGCTGTGCTCGACTCTCTGCTACCCTCTGGACTGTAGCCCACCGGGCTCCTCTGTCCATGGGATTCTCTAGGCAAGAATATTGGAGTGGCTTACCATGCCCTCCTCCAGGGGACTCTTCCCGATCCAGGAATCAAATCTGTGTCTCCTGTGTCTCCTGCATTGACAAGTGGATTCTTTACCACTAGCACCACCGGGAAGTCCAGTATGTGTATATATATGTGCATATATCTCTGTGGTATATGGATGTGTGTGCATATATGTATATGGGTGCCTATGTGTCTGTATGTATATGCATGAATGCATAGGTATATGTGTGTGTGTGTGTGCAGGAAAAGAAATGAACAGGAAAGGACTTTGAGGTCCTAAAATAATTCTGATGGTGGATTAGCATTTATCAGGAGCTGATCTTAATAAATGTTTTTGTAGGTGATAAAAATAATAGCATCAACCAACAAAAACTATAATTTTTCTTGTAACAGAATTCTGGAGTTCTCATTGGCAGGTAAAGATTTTCCTTCCTGGAAGCCAGTCTTTTATTATTTTAGATTTTGTCAAAATACTTAGGCCAGGTGCCTATGTCTTCAGTAAAAGGCACTATGTGACTTTCAGAGCAGGCAGAACACAAGGATAATCTGGAAAATGGATGATAAAGGCCTGAAAGAGCTCCAGGGGAGCTTTATAGTGTAGAAAAGGTTGGTTCTCATCTGGTCTCATCAACACTGGCATAATAAGGAAATTAAGCTCAAGGGGTATAATAAAGATGGAATAGTTGAGTGACATTCCTGCCCACTTTAATTTTAAAAATCACTCTTTTTCTGCTACTAGGAGAAATTTTCAGTTCAAGTCTCTGAACTGACACCTGGTCCATTGCCAACATTTTCCTGCTTAACTCTCATCTGGGCATATTTCTTTTGGGTTTTCTACTTGGGATTGTTTTAAGAGAGACGGAAAAAAAAAAATGTAACTCTATTTAACACAAGGTCCAAGTACACTGGCCTTATAAGAAGGAGTTTAATTAGGCCAGAGAGATAGGCATCATTTCTGGGAAACCAGAGCAGGCCAGGGAATAGCAGTTATCCCAAACCTGCTTAATCTCAGGACAGATACCCTTTGTGGGTAGTAGAGTTATTATGAAAGAATGCCTTCAGAGATCAAAACTTTAGAGGGCAAAAGTTCAAGGGAGGATTTATTTTTACTGTTAAAAGGGAAGATGGATTATGAGTAAAATCAAGAACGCTGATTAAAATGTCAAAAGCTCAGAAAGCCCAGAAGTGCTGTTTGGTTTGCGGACTATTTGTTTTTTCCTGAGCCAGACGCTTGCTGAATACATCTATCTTATTCCTAAAAGGTTTTTTTAACTGGCTGCTGTCTCACATAAAACCATTTACCCCAGCTAGTACATTTGTGAGTGTGTGGGGAGGTGGGGATGGGACAAGCTTTAGCGAAGAAAGTCCTATGGGTAAGGTGACCCTGCCTATGAGTGAACTGTATTTGCAAAAGTGTGTGTGTGTGTGTGTGTGTGTGTTGTCACGCCTGATTATTTGCAGATACAAGAAGCAAAATCACAGGTCAGACCTCATGAGAACATACTGGTGTTCCATCACAAGCTAAAGTGCACAGGTGATTTGAGGTCCATCAGTTCCTTATGCTTCACCAATTACATCTCTCAGGGCAACTAACTGCAAGAACTTATTCACCCTTTACCTAAAAAAAGCAATTTATTTTTAGAAACTGAAAGCTGAGAGGGACATGCATATGGTTTACTACAACCTGTCTTGGGGACAACCGAGATCCACAACAGCCCCAGGGCCTGCCTGAGACAGAAGGCGCTGTCACAGCGTTTCCTTCCCCACCTGGTGCTCGTTGCCACTGTCAGTGTTCTTTTTCCTGAGAAAATAAACTTTACATGTGGCCAGCAATGAACTTTTGGCTATCAGGTTCATTTATTTGTTCATCAAATGACAGCGAAACGGTTTATGTGACAGGCACCATCTTAGGCTCTGGGGTCCCACTGATGAAGAAAACAGACACAGTCTCTATTCTCATGAGGTAAAGTGAGTCGTCTTGTTCAGTCGCTGAGTCATGTCTGACTCTTTGCGACCCCGTGGGCGACAGTGCCTCGGCCTTCCCTGGCCTTCATTATCTCCTGGGAATTTGCTCAAACTCATACCCATTGCATAGATAATGCTACCCAACCATTTCACCTGCTGTTGCCCCCTTCAAAGTGAGTCTTACAGCTGTAAAGCGTGGCTCAAAAATTTTGTTCCTTCAAATACAGATGGCCAATAGGCACATGAAAGGATGTTCAACATTGCCAATTATTAGAGAAATGCAAATCAAAACTACAGTGAGGTACCACCTCACACCAGTCAGAATGGCCATCGTTAAAATGTCTACAAACAGCAAATTCTAGAGAGGGTGTGCAGAAAAGGGAACCCTTCTACACTACTGGAAGAAATGGAAGATGGTGCAGTCACCGTGCAAAACACTAAAAAGAGTCCTCAGAAAACTAAACAGAGACTCACCATATACTCCAGCAATCTCAGTCTTGGGCATACACCCAGACAAAACTTATAATTCAAAAGGACACATGCAGCCCTAGGTTCACAGCAGCACTGTTCACAATAGCCAAGACATGGAGACAACGTGAATGTCCACTGACACATGAATAAAGAAGATGTGGTAATATATACCACACCTTCTTATATGTACATAGGGCGGCTCAGTGGTGAAGAATCTGCCTGCAATGCAGGAGCTGTGGCAGGAGCCACGGGTTCGATTCCTGGGTTGGGAAGATCCCTTAG